CGAGACAAAAATGGGCGGCTCTCTGCTAAGTGATGAAGAACAGAACGAAAGATGGATAGAACATTTTTGCGAGGTGCTCAATCAACCTGACCCAACGAAGACTTATTGCTTCGACGAGATGGATACAGCAGAAGAACTTGATGTGAACACAGGAGATATTACTGTTGAAGAGACCGATCAAGCAATTAAATGCCTTCGTAACCAAAGCCCAGGAATGGAATCCAAGCAGAGTTAGTGAAGAGAAGGCGGCAGACCTTTGACGGAAGCACTGTCTAAACTTTCCACTTTTGATGTTGGAATCAAGAAGAAGTTCCAGAAGATTAGACTACCCAAAAAATGAAGTCTGTCAGAGTGCGGAAGATCGGAGAGGCATAACCTTACTTTCAGTGCCGGGTAAAACATACTGCTTGAATGCTACGAAAAAATCTTCACTCTCCGCAATATTATCGAGCAATGCATGGAATATCGCATCCTCTCTTCATCAACTTCATTGATTTCAAAAAGGCGTTCGATAGTATTCACCGCGACTCGTTATGGGCAATTCTTAAGATATACGGCATACCGCAACGTTTTATCACCATCTTCAAGAGCTTGTACATGAACTCATCGTGCTGCGTAAGGACAAATGATGGGCATACTCGGTTTTTCGAAATCACTACTGGAGTACGACAAGGATGTATTCTATCACCATTCCTGTTCAACATCTGTCTAGACTTTGTTATGCGAAAGGTGGTAGGACAAACGAGAACTGGCATAAGTTGGTATGACCAAGAACGTCTCACAGATCTGGATTTTGCGGATGATATTGCACTCATTGAGGAAGACGAAAACAAGCTCCAAGAAACGACTACAAACCTTAGCAATGAAGCAACAATGATTGGCTTACGCATCAGTGCCGAAAAATCGAAGGTCATGCGCATTGGTTCCCACAATACACAAATGGCCATTTATGTCGATGCGAAAGAACTCGAGACAGTTGACAGATTTACATATCTGGGAAGTACAGTTGTTTTACGACGGAGACGCGGAAACAGATGCGCGTACTCGGATTGCGAAGGCAGCATCTGTTTTTCAACGACTTCAGTCAGTATGGACAATGTCCTCTATCTCACATAACATAACATATATTGTAACAATCCATTGTGATATTCCACGGCGCTGTACGCAAGCATACATGAAAATCACTACTGGCTTCGGGTCAGAGAAAGGGAAAATGCCTTTCCACTTGGTCGGTGCTGTCGACGATGGTTATTGAAAATACGGTACACGGAACCACATCA